CCAGGACCCCAGGTATATTCAGTTGCTCCCAAATCAAGGGTCTCCCTACAGGGGGGACAAGGGCTGAGTCACTGCTTTCTACCTCTGATTCATCTGAAGATGAATCATTGTCACTGGAACTCCTATCGACAGGTGCTGGGACGCAGCAGCCATGCAGAGACCAAAGTATATCGAAGCAAAGGAGTTATCCTAATGTTTTCTTCTAATTAATCACCCCTGAATTACAGCCAGGAATCCTGCTGGCTCGTGGGCAACGCCTGTCCCATTTGGGGGCATTGATATCTTCTTTGTGCTTTTAGAACTCAGAAGACGCATCCCTCTCCAGGGCACAGTGAGGGAGGGGAGCCCCTAGACTGGGCTGCTTGAAGGTCCCCCACATCCCTCCATGTGTTGGCCATGTGTCCTACTGGTGACACTTGCATTTGTCAAAAATGCAGCCAGGAAAATTAATCCTACGCCATTTGCTTGGCACAAAGGGGCAGCACTGAAGCTACAGCAGCATGCTGGCACCAGGGCTGCACGCTGCTTTCTCAAGAGGTTACAAGTCTTGGGCAGTTTACTGGAGTTATTTATGGCTGGTACTAAAGTGCAAAATCAAGCTGTGATAATACGCCAGTGAGCGTGGTTGCTGGTTCCACAGGAACACCAAGGAGCCCTCTTCTGAGATTTTAAAATTGTGGTGAAGACAATGCCTTGCAGAGGAGAGGAACTGGCTAAAATGCAGTATAAAACCACACTGAAGGGAGATAATTTTTGAAGCTTTTCTTGGAAAGACACTTCCCTGCAAGTGTACTAAAATAACCCAGGTTCTGCAATAGCAAACGCTCTGTCATTAAAGGCATTAACATGGAGGGGATGGAAAATGGAAACAACCTGTCTGTAGGGGACCCTCAGCTATCCTGGGCCTGACAGTGAAGCTATTGAACCATCAAGAAAGAAACGTAAGGAGGGGAATATTTAGCCTTGTTTGGCGAGAGACCCTTGATAACTGCTTGGATCCATACCCAGATATTTCCAGTTGCCAAAAGGAAGGTGGTTGGAGCAACTGTCCAGAGCTTGTGAATACTCTAAAAATATAAATTTGAAGAAATAGGATGGATGCAATTTTCTTCAGAGGCTGTTACTGATGTTGCTGTCAGGGACTGCTGGCAGTCAGGGAGCACAAGTGATGACTAAGGCGGCAGAACCCATATTCCAGGTAAAGCAGTTAGCGGGGATGGGGAGTGGGGGGAATACATCTAATCACAGAGTGACAGGGACCAAAGAAAAAGCACAGGTTGTGCAGTATTGTCACTCCAACGGGAATGGGACGAGCTGTGCAGCTCCAGCCTTGCAGGGTCTCCTCTGTACCTCCGCGCCCATTTCCTGGGGCTTGTCCATGTGTCCTCTTCTAGCAGCAGCTGTGATGGGGATGGGGTTCCTGTCCCCTGCCTGCTCCTCCGCAGCTGCCCAGTGATGTGCTGCCAGACGTTCAGCACACCCTCAGAGCTGAGAGCCGAGTTGCTCACGGAAGCGCTCCCTGGATGTGTGATGTCAAAAAGCAGGTAGTAGTCAGGAGAGGGAAAAGGCATCTGAATGGCCCCAAAAAGGGAGACTGCTATTGCTGACCCTGGCCTCTGGTGTGAGTCCTCTCCTGGTGTTTACTGACACCTGCGAAAGAGAATGAGAGAGAATAAAACTCTTTCTACCTGTAGATGATGAGGCGAAGCAGACACTTGATGGAGCTCGAGTTGAATTTCTGTCAGATCTTTTTGCTGATGCAGACCTCGGCTGCAGAGGTCGTGGTGAGGCTTTGCCTCCCTGTCTCCTCTTAGAACGGCTCTAGTTTGTGCAAAGCCAGGCTTTAGGGCTCACTGCTGTCACAATCCTGTACTGCTATGGGTACGTTGCTTCAAATTAGCAACTTAGCAGAGAGCTGCATCTGCTGGATTGCTGGCCAGGCAGGGGTTTCTGCTCCCTGCTCCAGAGCTGGTGTTGACCACCTGCTCCCCGTGGTGATCCATGGGCTGGGGACACAGACGTGGCAGCCACTACAGAGCCCGTGTTTCTGTCTGCATCCTCATTGCAGCCCGAGGGTTCACAGCCACCAGGTAAAGCAAGCGGGGATGCGCTTCAGGGGTGGCAGCTGCATCCAAGCTAAGATGATCCCAGCATCGTGGAGAATGCCCATCACAAGGGAACTGGGGCCATCAGTACCTCTTTGCAGGCTCAGGTCCCCCGGCACCTTTTGAAGCCGACTCTGCATTAGTTCATTCATTCATCAGACAGGTGATGGTATGTCAGCATCCACCTGAATGCTGAGGAGTGCACTCCTGTGCCACACGCAGGGAAGGATGATTCTATCAACTAAACAACTTTTTAACAGGCCTCCTGCTTGTTTAATCCCAATTGATCAGGAGATTTCATAATCTCTTAATGATACCCAGTATTCAATGGTAGCTGTTCACAATGTCACACTAAAAAAAGAACCAGAATTGTCTCTCTGTTGACAATTTTTGTTTCTTCAGTACTTGTTCTCTTCCATTTAGCTACTTATTTTTGGTCTGTCCATGATGGCTGTGTCATTGTTACTACCTTATCTTTTGATAAAAACCTCGAGTGACCAATTTTGCCCCTCCCTAGTCTTCTGCTCCGGTTCTGCCACCACATATATACCTTTTGTTTCTTCTTTCTAGGCTCTTTATTTTATTTTTCACCCCGCTTTGCAGTAGGAGAGGTAGATCATACTTAACTGTCCCAGATGACAGTTCAAGAAAGGCGTGAAGTTGAACAAAGGTTTCTCTTTATTGACATTGAATGTTACTGACACGTTATTTCTGTGGTAGACTTAGAGTCTTTGATTTTAACCAGCTGCTGTAAATGCACAGAAGTAAACAACAGAATCTATAAACAGTTCAATACAGAAGAATTGATTTAGTACCTTACAAGACAAAGCAATCAATAATCTATTACACATCTAATCATGGGCACAAATAGCCCAGTGGCCCTCTGCACAGCGTTCCACCAAATGAGAAGGGCGGTGGGAAACCACAGGAAGAGGGATACAAATCACCAAGATTGCAAATGCATTGCTTGGAGGAGATCTATAAATGCAAATATTCAAATTCAACAATCACCTCTCGCTACTAGTGAATCACGCTATTGCTATCTGGAGACTAGTTGCTATGGCAGAAAGCTGTAGCGGTGGCAGAAGGCCAAGAATCTCGCCTTTGAAACGTTAACTGAATTTAACTCTTGACTTTTCTCAGACAGGGTTCATTACTTTGTGTGACTGTGTCATATTAAATAAGTGCTTTGCCTGCTCCGGGTACTGGTTTGGAAGGGATATTATTAATCACTGGGACAGCAAAGCAGGTCAGTAACAACTATTTGTCAATAAGGATTATTTTTTTTTTAACACCTTCAAGTCAAATATGTAATAGCTGCAGTCACATAAAGGCCTTTTTGCTTTCTTTTTATTTTTTCTTTAATTTATCTTTTTTCTTTTCTTTTTTTTCCCCCCCCACTAAATCTTCTCCTTGCTTTAGGCAAGTTATACCCAGTTCACAGCGTGTGGACACACTCAGCACATACCTACAGAGCAGGCATGATGGGGCGATGAGGAGATCCCCTCCTTTGAACAGTTACAGCCTGGGCACAGACACGCTACTGCTCCATTTAAGTGACATTGTAGGCTGCTCTGTAATATCCAGCAGGACAACCAGGAGTTTAGAGACTTCAGCAAGGAGCAGGTATGGCAGAACTACCTACACATGGAATTCAGGCACAAGCTCTTCTTTTAGCTGCCTGAAGTGTAGATTTGGGTACCTGCAGTTATGTCTATTCACTTGTGCTTGAAGAGACCAGCCCTTTTCAGCTGTCTAAATGAGATCTCTCACATTTAGTTATTGGGCCAGATCTACCAATTTAGGATTACTGACATCCAAGGAACTACTAGATTAATCACAATCAAGTATTCATGCAGCGGTGCTTCTGACATTTTTTCTTTAACATTATGAGGAGCTATTAAGAAGGACGCACATGCTGAAAGTTAACTGAGAATGGCAGAATAAACCAGATGGTGTTATTGTGAAGACATCTATCTATCTAAGAGAATAGCACATAGAGAACAACTGTGTCCCTAAAGATGCAGATCCACAAATTGTGACGATTTTTCTCCCACAAACACAACAGAGGCATGACTGTTGCAGTGGAAAAAAGTCTTGAATCTAGTGGGCCACGTACAAAATTACAGTGGTGGCTGAGATGGTGACAGTGAAACTGGAGGGGCTGCTGGACAGTATTCCTACTCCAGTCTGTACTACTGGCGTTTTGCCCAGTCCAAAGAGTAGGCTAATAACCACACAGCTCTCCAAATCATTCTGTAGCCTGTAGAACATTTCATGTTCCACCTTCAGAAATCTTGTTCTGTCTTTCAACACTTGTTTTCCTCTATTACACAATTCTATCTTCCAGGAACAAGTTTGCAAGGTAAAAGTGCTCTGGCACTCTCTCACACTTCCCTTCTCAATAGGCTTTTGACAGTGTGCTCAGACCTGAAGGAGTTATTCCAGAGAAAGGAAACACAAAAGCCCTATAGCTACACAACATGCAGTACTCTGCTAGATAGCACTTAAAAATGACTTTGCAATCTCACTCATGTTCTTTGTCATCTTTCATTAACCATAATTTTGACTGCTGCACCTCCCTTTCTCCCCTCAAGATACACTGATGGTAATGTTTTTTTTAAAAAAACAACCTAAATGTAAGCCACAAGCTTCCAATTTATCCATTTATTTATATTTTTAACTAATGGATCACAGTAATATTTAATCTTATTTTTGTAGATATGCATATAGATATCATTTGATGATACATGTTTTCTTGTTCAATATGGGTCCTTAGATGAAGTGCAGAATATTTATTGTAACTTTGTAGACCAGAGATTAAATATTTGAAATCCAAGGATCCTCAAACTATAGCAGTGAAAAGCAGGCTTCATCAAAAAAGCAACAACCAGGAACATTTAAAATGAATCATTTATTAAATCAAACTGTTATTTTAACAGTTACATAAGTTACACAGCATGTTTAAGTCAAAAGATTTCACAAGAAAAAAAAAATTAAACTTCTATTATGCAGGCAAAAATAGTACCACACAATATATAACTGGGAGGGAAGAAGGGAAGAGGAATTTCTAAACATTCAAATAAGGCCATAATTATTTTAAAACAACAATAAAACAATAATAAAAACCCCCAAAGATCCATTTTCCTTTCAGTGTTCAGTGCTGCTAACTATATGTACTTTCAGTGTACAGATGTAATCAAGGCAGTGATATCTTGATAGCTAGGTTTAATGTTTTAAAACACTATCAGAAGTGGAGTAAGGCTCATTAGTACATACAGCTGCCCTTGGAATGTCAATCTCAGTTGCCTTCATTAACTTAAAACTCACAAAGTGCACAGTTAAGATATGCCAAAAAATTGAAACTGCTACTCTACCAACAGCTGCCCATGCTTAATACTTAGTGGTCTATCAGAACAAAGTATGTTCTTTCAAAAAAGATGTGTAAGAAAAGCCACTGTAAAACATTTAGTTTCAAAGATGCACTAGGAGCTTTTTGTAAACTGAAAAGTAGAAAAACGTGGATTAATTATGTAAAGAAAAGAATACAAAAAACACTAGAAATGACCATCAAACTTTCAAAGAACAAGCACCACAATGGACGTTAGCATTCGATTTTGCAGTGTACAGCAATGTAATAATTTCACTCTAACCAATCCACTTCATCAAATTCTGAATCATCTTCTGAATCGCTGTACTCCACAGCGATGCGACGAGAAAGTATAGTAGCAACATCATTCTCGATGCGCTCATGCTTAGCTTCTTGTTCACGCTGCTCTTCAACTTTGCGCAGCTGAATTCCTAAGGAACGTCAAATCACAAACATGTTACTCTCCTCCTTTATCGTTATACCAAGTATTTAGATCACGATTTACAAAATGCTTTGCAAGCAAATTGAAGGCTGCAGACACTGTCCTCCTCACAAGTTCTCTGTCAAGTTTTCAGAGAGACGAGTGTCAGAACTACAGTGGCAGACTAGATCATCAGTCTTCCTACTATAATAGCCTGCCCCCGATTTCCCGTTAAAAATGCACCCACATTTTTAGCACCACTGTAAGTGATTAAGCCATTTTACTATTTGCATTTCCAAACATTTTTTATGCGCTCTTCATGGTCTCAATTAAAAGTTATAGCTATTTGAGTACCCCAAAAATATAGGATTTCTTGTAACTCAGTTTTGATCAGGAACTGGGATAAAGTGTTACTTAAAGATCAGATATAAAGGAGAAACAACACATACCGATAGTATGAGAAAGTTAAATCCGGTAAATTAGCTAAAAACATGACAGAGATTATAGATTTTGGTTTTATATTCACGATACCACAGAATGACACAGTCTAAACATGACCTTCATCCTGTACTTAATAAATACTCTCCGTTGCCAGCTGACAGACAACACAAGCGCAGGTGTCCTTAGGTGGAATTTAAGCTGTGGTAACTTGAGCCTTTGTTTCTTGTGCAAGACTTGGTGTCAAAAGTGTTTTCAGGAATCACCTACATTATACCAGTAGGTTCTCCATTATTAGGTTTTTTTGCTGACATTCTCTACTAATGTTCCTGCACCACTGTGGTACTCAACTGCTGTTTTACTTCTTTAGATTCAATTATGTTATCAGTTTATATACGTGCACATAGATACTTCAAAAATATCTGGAATGAGTATTATAGCCTGCCTACTGATGTGACAGTACCATACAGATTCTGTACTGTGTTGTAGGTGCAGGGGAAAAAACAGAACACAGTACTCAAAACATTTGAGAAAGATTAACTATTCAGATACTACACAGTCATGCAGCAGCACCCACAGTGCAGTGGGGATTTTCCTGGCTGCAGGCACATAAGCTGGAATACAGCTTGTACATACAGCTCTTCACGGGATTGTCAGGATAACATCGCCCTGCACCTCTGCCATTCACCTGCACTCTGCCAGTGGGGCACCCTGCAACATAAAGGCTGCTCCACTACTGCCATGAGACTTGTCGGGATTAAATACTTAACAGCTTTAAATCTTAAGCAACAATTTCTGATTGCCATTTATATGTTGTTGTGACACACTCATATATGATCAAAATTCCAATGGCAATTGATCTGTCCTGCTTTTATCTAAGTCTGTGAAAAACAATGTTTTTGTCTTCTATGCTACTTGTAGGTTATCAGAAATAGCTATATTTTCAGGTAAACAGAAATTAAGAGATAATCTCCACAGATCATCTATAAACACATATACTTAAAAAAAAATAAAATCTAACTTCCACAGAGAACCAGTTTTGCCATCCAAACTAAACATCTGATAAGTGCAATTACAAATTGAAAAAAAAATCTGTCTACTTGGCACTGTATACACTGTAGAGAATAGAGAGCAGAAACAGACTTAAGATGTATTCCTCTGAACTAACTTCTTATACATGTGACATATTCCATCTCTCAAGGTTAATGTGTATTTACCAAGTTTCTGAGGCCATTCTTGTTTGTAAGAATAGCCCTCTAACAGGCAAACATTACCTTTCCGTATTGCTTCCAGCAGAACGCTTCTAGCGTCACTGATTACAGGCAGAGTTGAAGGATGGCGTTTGGGCTCAGGAGCAGGAATCACTTGGGATGGTGGAGATGGAGGCATGAGGGGGGCATGAGGGCCAGGGACAATGGTTGTGGGAGGAGGGTGCAGAACAGGAGGAGGGTGAGAAAGGGCTGCAACTGTGACAGGAGAGGAGGGTCGAATGCCAGGAGGAGGCAAGGGAGGAGGTGGGGGTGGTGGAGGAAGTCCCTGTACTTCAGCTTGAGGAGGAACTGGGTGAACAGGTACAGGTTCGCACACTTGGGCAGCTCTCGTGACAGGAGGAGAGGGTTGTGCTAGGGGAGGAGCAATTGGAGGTGGAGCTGGATGTAGAACTCCAGGAGCAATCTGGAGAGGAGCTGGTGGAGGTGGCACAGCTGGGGCCTGCAGAGCAGCTGTGGGAGGGGGTGGG